GACATATGCATCAGTTTAAACAAAGAAATACGATAATTAAATGAGTTGAGCAAGTAAAACCAATCAAAAAAGGGCAGCATTGATTTTGAAGCGCGGGACAGTTTACACGCAATCGCATAAGGACCTGCAGCCAATCACGCGATTCCACGACTGGCAAGAGGGCGTTACCGGAAACTGGGCGGCAGCGTTCAAGTCCGTTCTAGCGGCTTTCCAAGATGAGTTTTTTGTTCAGTGACATTTCTTATGTACTTGACTGGGGCTAGCGCATCATTTCCACATCATTAGTATCGAAGACATGTACCCTGCTGGGACTGTTGCTTTAAGTGACAAAAATACAACGCAAGTAGTTTCAACAAACCGTCACCGTAAAGTTTAAAGGCAAAGGTCGGGCTCAGGCACGCTAGAGAAGTAATTCCCGTGCCTGGAGGTTGTATGTGGGTAGCTGCACACATTGCAGCAACTTCCCACCTTGAAAAACCCCGTTAAGGCCCCGGGGCGTTCGGTTTCAATCCAGGGCCGCCTGGTCAATCCAGGACCGCCCACCTCCGGAAGTGGTGCGTGGCTGGCATAACGTGTGAAATCAGCTAGGTTGATTGCCGTATCAACCGATAGAACGACTGACATCTCCAGAAAACTTGTTTGTACGTGCCTCTTTCCCCAAGCCAGCCTCCTTCACTGCTAGTGGGAAAGAGGGTTTTGTTAACGGCCTTGTCGACGGTTTTTCTCAGTTTTTTTCTCCACTGTCGTTCCACTTCGCATCTCTATACTCAGTTTCAATCGCCATAATACCCCCTTATTGAGCCCGACTTTTGCCTTTAATGAAGCGTCACGTCGCTTTGTGTGAAAAGTTATTCTCCGTTAGCCTATAACAAACTAAGTGTCTGACTCTGGATTACCTTGGAGCGACCACATCATCTTGACAATAGTCGAAGTTTCTTGTTGCGGTGAAAGTGGTCTTTTTCCAAATGAGCACTCTTTGCAGCTGCACTTTCGAAATCACAAATGGGCAGGAGGTGAGTACCACATTTCTGAAAATATTCTAATGTTACAATTTCGATGGGTTTTGGGTAATACCCCATTCTTTGGTGCAGTATATAATCCGAAGTTACGGGCCGGTCGTCTCTTCGGAGCGCAATATCGTCTATTAATGTTTTCGAACGGCAATGTTGGACTGCAACAGTTATACGAGTGTGTGTGTATGTGTGTGTGTGTGTGTGTGTGTGTGGAATGGAGGAGGGGGGTTGTTGTCAGGGAGTAAAATTCTTCTTTGTTAGTGCACGTTTGTGCCATTGACCTTCAGGTCGATACCAATGGACAGGTGGTACGAAACGCCCTCATGAGTTTTTCCCCTTCGCAAGAGGGATGTGTGTAGAGGTTTTAGTAGGAGCGCTCCAACCATTTATATTATACCAGTTTAGCTCCGCACGCAACCGCGCGCATCACATGGTAGGCTTTAGTGAAACTGGACAACTTGCTGAATATTAGGTCACGTGGCTGAGAAACTAACAGTAAGATGTTTGGAAGATGTGTCACATGAATTTCAAAGGCTGTCCAATTTTGCTGAAGATTGTAGCGTAATGCGCGCAGTAGCATGCGGAATGAAAATGCACTTATCATGACTTCGTAAACATTTAGCATTGATATCGAGCTCGGGTGATTTAGCGGTTTATAGAATTTCCACAATTGAAGAATCGGTGTGTAAGTGAAATATAACCAATCAATCAGCATCTAACCATGATGGAGATGCAAATATGATGTTCGCAATTCGCTGTTGGTCCAAGCCCAGATAGTTGAGCAGCTCAAGTTTCTTTGCTTCTTCAGATGAGGTGGAATGGACACACTCCCCACGGCTAAGGACTCTGACCTTCAATTGAGTGCACGCTCAAACTGTCGTTACTTTTATCAGTACAGTTGCTGGCTCATACCACTTTCTGTCACCTACATTCAACCCTCGCCACCTTGATCGCTTGCCAGTGATAATTGCAACGAAGTTGTAGAGACCTGCATTCAAACGCTCTTATCACTTCCTTGTCATTTCTTATCAGTTCATACTGTTCGCAATCGGTGTCCCTGTCCCAACCTCCACGCAACGTGTAGGGGCTAATATTTACTGTCACCACGAAGGCTGCAACGACATTAGCAGTACTCAGAATCCTAACTTCCTTATCAACTGTTATCGCTTGTTATCACTTCTAATCATCCGCTATCCGTGTTCCCGTCCCATCCCCTATACCACATGTGAGAGCCAAGGTTCCAATGTAACCGCAAGGGCCGCAACGAAACTGGTGGTATCCACACTTTGACGCCCCTTATCAGTTCTTATCAGTTGCTACCACATTCGTTCACTCAAACTTCTTGGTCCCCGCCTCACCCCACAATTACACACATTAACGCCACCCCTCTTCACTGTCAACGCGCCCCGTCGGCGTGTAACGAAGTTGGTGACTATCAACCATTTAACGTTCTTTTAGTCAGCTCCTATCAGTAGTTATCACTTCCCGCCACCCGTCATCAGTGTTCACCTCTGGCCCCCTATATATCCTAGAAGTTTGAGCGCTCTGGGTCCAAAGGGGGTGAAGTTATGAATTTCCGGTCAGACACACACACACACACACAACCGCTTAGCCGATTATATATAGTAGGATGCATCCGAGTAAAACTAGATCAGATAATTATTAGCAGGTGATTATCGGATGTTGTGGAGCTCCCACGCGTTAGGAATCCAACAAGTAATGCTTTTATCATAGGTAATTCGTCAGAATCACTGGATCGCCGAAGCCGAGAGCTAAAAGCAGATGTAAGAGTTTTCATGTCGTGTCGACTTGTCTGAGGACTGACTTTGATTATACAGTCGATATCCGAAAGTTTGGGGTGGGTGTGTCACCGGAAGTGACGTGCACTTGATAGAAGTGCGTGGATAAGCTGTTGCCAGCATGCTTTGCTGATAGCCAGCGATGTATGTTGGAAGCAGCTTCCACATAGTTTCTATCAAGTGCACGTCACTTCCGGTGACACGCCCACCCCAACTCACCGATATCGAGTATATATAAAATAATTACAAGATTATGCTCCATTTTATACGAGAACTGCCGCTCACTTTCGCATTTGGAACACCATGGTTATTCGGGCTACTAAAAGATGCCCGCGTAAGGGCCGTGGACTTTGCGAAATAGCGGGTACGAGCACTGCAACGCATCGAATCGAACTATGTCCAGTGGTTCGAGCGATCTAAAAGCGACTCGACTGTCTGAGATGGAGGTGACTCGGCTTCCGCGTTTGCACATTAACTCTCACTATATTTCTCGAACTCTCATACCTTCTCACTTCGCTCAATGGAACCTTGTTGACCCCGGAACATGGCGTGAGCGCATTTTGTCAAACCCTTGGATAGCCTCCCTTTAAAACAGTGCAGAGTCGCTGGTACATCGTTCAAACCTCTAGTACACAGCTCGATTCGCTGATTTCGCAAAGCCTGTCATCTGCCTAGCTGTGGATAGATGCGTGTTTAAGGCGGAACTGATCGAGCTTCGATACAGCTTTGGTAAGTATTATTTACCAGTGGAGTCGTACTGATGATTATCATTTCGAAACAGGCGGTAGATCGCATAGTTAGCGTCGGTGATATCAGAGTAGTGTTAGGTGACGTTAATAGTTGACGACTCAAGTGCTCAGGCAAGACGAGCAACCTATCAGTAAGAGACTAGCGCGCCAGGCGAATTGACGCAAAGTTTGGTTGAGTAGGAGAGTGGGATTGCGTAGGGATAGACTTCGCTCCGCTCTCTACGCGTAGTGGGCGTTTAGGCGACTAGGCGCTTACACCATTACTCGTCACTCGTCTATTCATCTGATAACAATTCATTCATTCTGACCTCTTGCCTAACGTGATTCGTCCGCCTATTACTCTCCTTTTAGTCGTAATTTGATGTGCATGTTCTCGAACTAGAAGCACCGCCTTAAGCTGTTATAAGAGGTAGGGGGATGGGAGGGTGAAAGTTGATAGTGTGCAGCGTCGCGATTTTTGCAACACAGTTAAGGGCCCCCCCCAATTCCGGAGGATTTTGGTCAACAAAGAAAATTAGGCCTTTCATGAAAAAATGCGGTGGCATGCCAAGCGGAGAGCTCTATAGTGTATGTTCTGACCAATATTGGGATGAATTGTGGGAGACCGTAGCGCTAAGCGCCCTGGATGCATCACTCCCCGCCCAACATTATTGGCCCCAACCGATGCACCAATGTACAATAATGTATTTCTAGCTTATAAGAGAGATTGAAGGTACGAAGTGAAACGTCAGTAATGAAAAATGGAAAGCTGTCGATATAGACAACATTCAAGTTCCCTCCGTACCACAAACGAAGTAGCATCGATTTGTGGAAGGGGTCCAACGCCGTGGCACGTGACCAAATGTTACATACCTAGGCCTAATGGTTCGATTGCTGTACCGGCCCCCATTTGTCACTGCAATTTTTTCCAGGAAGCTTAATTCTAATAACAGAGATTTTGGACGCTAGCTTCAGAGACAGGCTGGTACATATGATCAAATCGATCCTCACGAAACGGTACTCCACCCCTGAGAACCACACTCCTCCGGCTTTTATGAGAAGTGATGTATCAACACTCCGAAGGCGGAAGTATTATGATACAGCCGTGTCACCACACAGCCGTATGCAAAACCCGGCGTTCAGCAAAAACAAAACTCGTGATCAGAAAAACTCACACATGAATCTTTTCTGATCGGTGGGACATCGCGTAACAAACAGTGAACCCGACATTCAAAATTCATCACAACATCATAAAATCGAATTGTAATAAACTCTAAGGATGAGCTTTTTCCTAGGATTTTGTATCGATATCCTATGTATGTTTCCGAATGATGGAATTTAAACACATTTAGCGAATACCTGAAAGTTTTCAGGACGGCAATGAATATCCGTATATCAACGAACTCGAATTAAACAAAATGCATTTGGGGTACGTGGATAATAACAATGTCACCGTCACAGTGACTATTCGGGATGCAGAATGCTTCTGTATGTCAATTTTTGTCAGATAATTCCAAAAAGGCTGTTGTCAGTAGTTGATCTGAGTTTGGAAGGAGTGATGAAGTCGAAAATTCTGACTTGTTTTTGTTTGTTAACTGCTGTTTTGGCCGCAGTTCGCCTTTTTTCACAAGAATGCTGGGTTGTGAACAAAACTTTCGCCCCAGGCGGGACTAGAACCCGCACCTCTCGCTTACCGGGCAAGTGCGCTACAAGTTACGCAAAATGCGTAGTTGCGGGTGCGAGTTCGAGTCCCGTCTGGGGCGAAAGTTTTGTTTACAACCCAGCATTCTTGTAAAATCAAGTACATTTCTCTACCTACTGTCGAAAAGCGTAAAAGCGCAAACCCAACAAGGATCTAGTTCAACCACTTGCTTCTGTGACTGCCAATTTCCCACCACCGCCAATTTCCGCAAGTTCAATGTCAGGTCCGGCATGAGCCCTGAATGCTCACCTCCCATAGGGTTAGCCTGTTTCAGTGAGTCTTATGAATGATACCCGCAGCACTATGCAGAACCAAACCGGTTCGTAGCTCAAGACTATCTTCATTCCTGCGTAGGGGCCATCAGCCGTTAGGCGGAACATTTGCCCTCTGTGAGCTCTCTGTCAGGGTTCCCCAACATCACAAACTCCAACCGGATCGAACTGCCATTTGTCCATATCTATGAAACGAGGGAATATTACCTACATTACTGGCTCACGGATGAGTCCAAATATAATTCATAAATATTCAGCTGCTTCGACTGCGTCATCATTTTCTGTACATTTGGCTGCAATTAACTTTGACAGCAGGTTTCAGTCTTGGATAACAATACCGTCAGAAAACTTTCGATACAATGAGGAAACTGGACAACGTCACTTCTCGGTAATGAAAGTCGAATTCCAGCCTACTAATCAATAGTATTTTTTGCTTTTCTTTTCTTCAAATGACAAATAGTCAAGAAGTAGGCCGGCTATCACCCGAT